GTCAAGGGCAGGTACCTCTGTTGCAGGCTCCATCCTGGTCCCAGTCAGGGTGTGTGCAGGAGGCAACCAGTCAATGTGTCTCTCTCACATGGATGCCTCTCTCTCTCTCTCTCTCTCTCTCTCTCTCTCTCTCTCTCCCTCTCCCTCTCTCCCTTTCTCCTCTTCCTCCCTCCTTTCCACTCTCTCTAATCAATGGAAAAATATCTTCGGATGAGGATTTTAAAAAGGGGGCTCAGATAATTACACTGAGCTCACATAGATAATCCAAGATACTAGTAATTTCCCTATTTTAAAAAAAACCTTAGTTTCATCTCTGAAGTCCCTTTCACATGTAAGGTAACATAAGCACAGATTTCAGGGATTGAACATCTTTGGGTGGCATTCTTCAGCCTACCACAACCATAAAATTATTTTAAGATTTTCTTTCTATCACAAAAGAGAAGCCAAAGAACAGTTTTCCAGAATCCCCCTTTTCTAAATGGTCTGGATTAAAGTTTGCCATTGAGAGGCACTTGCATGAGATTTAGAAGGTAGAACAGATCAGTTTATTTTATTCTACTGGCAGTTGCATCCAGATGCATAGGCAGATGTGAGATTCACAAGAGTTTCCTGGTGAGACCTTAAGAGACATCTGCGTTGTAGTGGGAGACAGAGATAGATATTGGGAGCTTCCTGGAGATTCTAGAAAATCACAACAGCTTCATATTACTTATGATATGAAACAAACATCTTTTCTATAACTTGGCCAATTATCATACTCTTTTCTAAGTATGGATCAGCTTTCAACATTTGACCTTCTGCATTTTTAATATTGTGAAATTTCTCTAAATGTTTCTTTAATGTGAGGGTTTTACCAATGTCACTTCCTCTGTGACGTTTTCATCCTTCCCATTACAACCACTTTCCCATTTCCCATTTGGTGTTATTTTTTTGTTGTCATTTGTTACACTTTCATTTGTTGGAAAATTCCATCTTTCTATTTATCCATTTTTGTAAAATGTCACCTGCCTTTATCATTGGGAGGAAAATATACTTAGCATACTTTGCTGTGTTTGAACTTAACATCAGATGTATAGTGACCAATCACTGATAGACTGTGTAAGAAGTGATGTGATTGGTCATTTATCATAATGCATATTTGTTATTACATAGTGATAATGTGTACTGAACAGTTAGCAGCAATATCTGTACTTTATGTAATTATTCAATTGATATATGGTAATATCTGACATTTGAACCATATATTTGGGCAGTTTTGTGAATTACCTAAACTGTAGTGTATTGGTTTGCTAGGGCTGCCATAACAAAATATCATCATTTTGTAGCTTAAATAACAGAAATCTATTTTCTCATAGTTCTGGAGTCTGGAAGTCAGGATCAAGTTGTCAGCAGGGTTGGTTTCCTCTGAGAGTCATGAAGGAAGAATCTGTCCCAGGCCTGTCTCTTTGGCTTATAAATGGCTATCTTTCCTATGGGTCTTCACATCATCTTCCCTGAGTATGTATATGTGACAAAATTTCTTCTTCTTAAAAAGATACCCATCATATTGGATTAAGGCCCATTCTAATGAACCCATTTTAACTTAATTATCTCTGCAAAGTTCCTATCTGCAAGCAATTTCACATTCTGAGGTACTAGGGGTTAGGACTTCAACATATGAATAGGGGGTGAGGGTCACAATTCAGCCCACAATACAAGCCAACTGAGGGGGGTGGTTAAAAGATCAACCAAAGGACTTGTATGCATGCAGACAAGCATAACCCATGGATACAGACACTAGGGAGGTGAGGGCATGTGCTGGGGGGGGGCTGGGAACGGCTAGGGAGAGGTCAATGGGGGGAAAAGGAGACATATGTAATACTTTAAACAATAAAGAATTTTAAAAAAAGAATAATCAAAACTCCCCTATATGCTCATTTTAGTGCATCATCATATTAAAAATGCACCTGGAAAGCTGATGAACATTCTACTGAAACCCTCTCCTAAAATTCTCGCCTGCAGAAAAAAAAAAAAAAAAAAAAAAAAAAAAAAAAGATAAAAAGAAGCCCTCAGGACAAAGACTTAATGCGGGCTCTCTCTGGAGCATACCCATGCCTCTTCCTGGCCATGAACTTTTTTTATTTCTAAGGGTTCAGGTCCCCAGGAGATTTGCCACCAGGGGAGCAGTGGGCAGCAGCAGCAGCTTCTCCCACACTCATCCACGATCCTGTCTCCAAGGCCCCCTTTTCTCTGACTTCCCAGTGAGCTAACAGCAGCCCCACCTGGGCTCACTTCTTTCCTATAACATTTCTAGGGAGCCAAAGCAGAGCACTGCCTAGGCTCTCCCCTGTTGTTTTTTCTACCCAAATTCCTTCCTTTGTTTTACTGTCCCCAGCATTATTAAACATACTCTCAAATCCATCTGGACTCCTATCATAAAATATTTCCTAAATGAAGTCAAGAAACCACACACTAGAGGCCGGCCTGAGGCAGACCTGCTCTGGGCCAGCCCCTGTCCTATAACAGAAGGGTCTGGACATTGGAAGTGGAGCTAGACACTCACTGCTGCACCAGGCACAGACACCCTCCGCCCTGTGAGTGGGCAGGATGGCTAGAAACCTATCTCGGACCCTTTCTGTCCCTTCATTCCATCCACTGAGCATTTATGCAGCACCTAGTAAACACTTTCAGATGCTAAAGGTAAAAGGATAAATGAAAGAGGGTCCCTGGACTCAAGGGGCTTCTTATCTAGTGGGGTAACTCATGTTACAAGAGAGTCCAAGGGCTCATATTCCCTCTTACCTGCTCTTTTTCCTGCCCACCCTTTCAGCAAGGGGATCCCTCCTCCTCTCCCTGCTTGGACTTTGGCCCTGTTTTTCTTCTATCTCTCACCCTCTCACTTCCATGGATGCTCATTCAATTCTATTGTAAAAGAAGGAAAGAGGGTTTTTAAATAAATTATTTAGCCAATTCTATTATGTCTGTCATCATTTCACGGTGGAGACTGATTCATGATCAGAGAGAGAACATCCTGGACAGTGGGAAGAGTATTTTTGTGCAGCCATCACTTCTAATTTTTATTTCAACATCTGTGCTCTGAGATTCTTTCATCCACCAAACATTTATGGAGCTTCTTACTCTGGGCCAGGCACTTGTCCAGGCGTTAGGAATAGAGCAGCTAACAATGCAAAATCTCTGCCCACATAGACTTACATTCTAAAGTGGAGGCAGACTGGCAAAGTTCTAGTGAGATGATGGCTGCTGGTATGGTAAATGCTATGTAAAGAAATGAAGCATTGTAAGTGGGTATAGATTGCTGGCAGAAAGAAAGGTGCTCTGATAGATGAAATGGTCAAGAAAATCCTTTCCAAAAATAGTGGGAGAAGGAGTCAGGCAGCTAACCAAGGAGAATCCTTTCTAGGCAAAAACAATATATAAAGTACAAAGATCCTGAGATCAGAGCAGAGCAGGAAATGAAAAGAGGCATAGAAAGTGAGGCAGGGCCTCCCGGGCCATGACCAAGACTTGGCTTCTTACTTTGGGTGAGAAGAAAAAAATGTTGGAGGGTTTTGGGCAGGGGAGTAAAGAGATCTAACTTTTGTTCTAAAAGATTCCTATGCCTACTCTGTAGAGAATATATACATTGTAGGAAGAGGAGAGTGAAAGCTAAGAGATTAATTGCATCCATCAGGTAAGAAATAAAGGCTGCAATCAGGGTGGTTGGTAATGGTAGAAGTGACAAAAAGTGATTAAATTGGGGATATATATATATATTTTTAAATATATTTTATTGATTTTTTACAGAGAGGAAGGGAGAGGGATAGAGAGTTAGAAACATCTATCAGCTGCCTCCTGCACGCCCCCCACTGGGGACGTGCCCGCAACGAAGGTACATGCCCTTGACCAGAATCAAACCTGGGACCTTTCAGTCCGCAGGCTAACGCTCTATCCACTGAGCCAAACCGGTTAGGGCTGGGGATATATTTTAAAAGCAGAGCCAACAGTTGGCTCTAAGGGCTTGGGCACAATTTAATTGTCAGCAAATATTTCAATAATCACATTCTAAGTAGAAAAATGAAACCATTTAAAAACACAAGTCTTGCCCTAACCGGTTTGGCTCAGTGGATAGAGCGTCAGCCTGCGTACTGAAAGGTCCCAGGTTTGATTCTGGTCAAGGGCATGTACCTTCGTTGCGGGCACGTCCCCAGTGGGGGGCGTGCAGGAGGCAGCTGATAGATGTTTCTAACTCTCTATCCCTCTCCCTTCCTCTCTGTAAAAAATCAATAAAATATATATTTAAAAAACAAACAAACAAAAAAACACACAAGTCTTCATTGTTAAACAAAAATAACACCCAGTGGCAAAGGAACATAACATTTAGGACATGAAATAGTCAAAATTTCGAGGATGCTTACAAATGGTTATCAGATAATTTTGCAGAACTTTTTATACTTCACTATTTAGAAAAATAAAAATAAGGAAGGATAGAGATACACAATATTATTTCCCAACTAAAGAAAAATCCCTGTTTAAATATTTTGTTTTGTCTTAAAGACAGGGCCCCTGGCCGGGGGGTGGGTGTGGGGGGGTGTCTTTCATAACTGAAACAATGTGTGACTCCCACTGTTGTGGCCAGCAGTGCTAATAGCTACTGGATGTGTGAGTTTTAAATACGCAAGAAAATGTGTTAAACATCACACAAATGGAATCTAGTGGCCACAGGCCCAGCAAGGGGCATTGAACTGTGTGAGTAGGCTGAGTCGAAGGGTAGTTAATTCTTTAAACTTGAGCAGGTTGGCCTTTTCTGAGACAAAGGTTTTAACGCTTGCTGGATCCTGGCAAATGCAACTCCCACCTCAAGGGCCGGGCTGCAGCGGCCTGCCTTTATTTGTGAGCCTAGAGAACTACTGGACCTCAGCCACGCCCTGCCCACACCCTCCCCCGTCACATCGCCGCAGCCCCGCCCTCCCCCTGTGGCCACGCCCCCACGCTGCGTGAGCATCTTCCCTGGACACGCCCCTCCCCCTCTCCCCGGAACCTGGGCGGTGCCTGCGCCTGGGCCTCATAAGCGTCTTTGTGGGCGGAACTTGCGCAGCCGCTGGGACCGCTTCATCCTCAGCTTTTCTCCCCGGGCCAGCAGCGTCTCTGCGGACACGCACTTCCTGCGCGGCCTTGGTGAGCACCTTCTCCAAATCCAGCGGAACCCAAAGCGAGCCCCGCCTTTCCGAGTTGTTCGCCATGGTGGACGAGCTGGTACTGCTGCTGCAGGCTCTCCTGGTGAGGCACCGCGCTCTGAGCATCGAGAACAACCAGCTCATGGAACAGCTGCGCCTGCTGGTGTGCGAGAGGGCCACCCTGCTGCGCCAGGTACGTCCGCCCAGCTGCCCGGTGCCCTTCCCCAGCACGTTTGACGGCGAGACCTCCCGTCTCCCCGAGTTTATCGTGCAGACGACATCTTACATGCTTGTCAACGAGAACCGATTCTGCAACGACGCCATGAAAGTGGCATTCCTAATCAGCCTGCTCACTGGGGAAGCTGAGGAGTGGGTGGTGCCCTACATCGAGATGGATAGCCCCCTCCTAAGCGATTACCGGGCCTTCCTCGAGGAGTTCAAACAGTGTTTTGGCTGGGATGAGGAAGAAGACGACGATGAGGACGAAGTAGATAATTACTAGGCCCTGAGACCCTAGGGGCCTGGGGGTGGTGCGGCGCCTGCAAGCCACCCCCCATCTTCCTCCGCCCCTCCCTGAGCCGCCCTGCTCCCCCTAGCCCTCCCTTCTCCTCTATCCTTGCTCTCCGCTTCCCTCCCTTATCTCCTTAGTGTTTGTCTTTGTTCCAAGAATTGTGCTCCACTTTCCTGCTGCTGGGGCTGGGAGTTATCTCTGAAGCATGCTGCCACCCATTGTGGCCTGCCCCAGGATGCACCCCTGCTAATTTGGACTGTGTCCTGAGCCCAGCTATCCCGCAAATCCCTGTTACAAACTGATCTGTGCACAGCCCTGCCAACTGCCAGCCCTGCATCTGCCTAGAGACCTACGCTGTCACTACACCACCATCCACTACATTCCAGCAACAGACCACCACCGCCTTTGGAGATAAGGAGCAGCCTAGAAGATGCCTGAGTCGGCTACACCTCCTTGGACATTGATTTGGACATCTCACCAACCCCTGAAGGGGCCAGTCTTTCAACCTGGTTAGTTCATTTCCAGAGTCCTCCCCTCCCCCACCAGATTGCTGCTGGAGTCTACTGTGCCTGGCAGCCAAATTGTTGACATTTCTTTTCTCCTATGCGCCAGTTCTGCATAGCTGTCATTTTCCTTTAAAAATTGCAGTAGTCCCACAGATGTGTGCATTTGGACAAAAATACTAAAAACAAAACAGGCACTCGGCCCAGCTTTCAAAACTACCTGGAAAAAGCACTTGCGTTCTCAATAAATATCAAGCACTACAGAAAAAAACCATGAGTGTCTTTTAATGGTTAAGGGATATCACTGGCCTCTATCACTCTACCCTGACTTCCATTATTCCCATTGAGATTAGGGAACCTAGTTGAATCCCATCATTCCCACTTTCATCTCTAGATTGCAGAGGACAGGTAACAGGACTTTATAGGAATTCTGGTGCTCCCTTGGCCAAGGCATTTCTTAATGGTGAGGGGAGTGGCCTCTGGGGCCTCCAGGATGGCATGGGTAAAGGGTAGCTGAGCGCATAGCACACCATCCCAAATTGGGACACTTGAGAGTGAAAGGGGGCACTATTAATAATTAGACTAGGACAACAGGCATAAATCTGGACACATACAATATTTCTACCTTCCCAAGCCTTTAATTTCCTTCCTCAACACTGCTAGGGAAATTCTGCCCATTAATCATTGTTGCTTGGGGGGTTCTATTGACTTTAGGCTTTAATTAACAATGGAGCACATTATTTTAATGCCCCTTTCAGGTGCTTGAGCTAACATTAAATTATGCATCCTGGGGTAAATGTACCCATAATAAATAGAGCCTGATCTTAACAATTCATCTTCCTTGGGCTGACACACTTAGAATCCTCACCTACACATGTGCCCCAGATTCCTGCCTATGAAAATGGGCAAGATGCTGGGCTGTCTCCTGAACTTGACCATACACTGCTGAGCTATGCTAAAATCTCCTTGTGCGCCTGGGGGGCTTAGAGACATTGAGGGAGTCCAGTGGGTGCTAAGGAGAATCTGCATACTCTTGAGAGGTCATTATCCCAGGTTAAGTCATCTAAAATTTAAATCAGAGACCCTTGGTTGAGGGGTTGTGGGGAGTACCTCTGCCAGCCAGGAACTTTCAGGAGGATTTGAGGAGTTCCGAGTTCTCAATCTCACCCATATCTGCCCAAATGTCAGTGTACCATACTTGAAGCCAACTCTACCTTAGGACCTCTAGTGAATTGAGATAATAAATTTCCTTATTGTTTAAGGCCTTTGGGGGCTGGATATTTTTTTTATTTGTATTGGTAAACCTCACTATGGATTAAATGAAATACTTGTCATCCTACTGATCACACCCATGACATATTTAGAACTGTCCCTGCTACACAGAGAGCACTCAGTAAACATTGGCTGTTACTTCCAGGCCTGGGAACCAAAGTTTCACTTGGAAGCAGGTCTCTTGCTATGAGCCTGGCTTTAGTTGCTACGAACACGGGCAGAGCAGGCACAGGGAGAGTGGAAATGAGTATGTGGCCTCATTTACTCTTAGGGATCTGTCATGAAGTCACAGAGAAGCCAGTGTACTTGGTGAACAGGCAAAGTCCAGGGCAGTTACTTCTTGGGCTTAGAAAAGTTGTTTCTGGAGGGTATGACTTAGAAAAAGAGGCTGAGGCCCCAGCTGGGGATTCATGTGGGAAAGTGGGCAACAGCTAAAAGCTAGGTAAAGGGCCCAGTGAGACCAAAAATCAATCACTCAAAAATTATCAGTGGTCCAGGTATATTAAGAGGAGTTAGAGAAATGGAGGTAAATGAAAGGTGGCGGTAAATGAAAGGAGGCTAAACTCCTCATAGTGAGTCTAGTTGTTTCTCTGGTGCCTTGCACTGAAACTGGGAAGATAAGTAGGTATAGACAAGGTCCAGAAAGATAATCTAGACTGTGATTAGATCTGGGAGTGACCTTTCTGGGGTGGAAGTTTAAGACCAATAGATGAGATTTACTCCCTACCATCAAACCAAGTGAGCACAAGCTCTGTAGGGGAAGGAAGGGATCTCTGGTGAGTGAGGATACCATGCCAAGGCAGCATCTGAATAGCATCCATGGGAGCTAGGCCAAGGAACTTCTGAGATGGAAAGGTGCTTGTTCTTGAGTGTGTGTGTGTGTGTGTGTGTGTGTGTGTGTGTGTGTGTGTGTGTGTAGGGGGATCAGGTATCATGGAAGAGCAGGTTATGCTGTAAGCTACAGAGAATGATAATGGGAGAATCTGGCTACCTTGGGGGAAGATTCTGCAGATATTGGCAAAGGCTCTACCACGTAGGAAGGAATTCATGACAGTGCCGTAAGGCAAAGTACAAGAGAATAGAGAAGTAAATCAGCATGTTTAAAGGTAAAAGTACCACTTAGATGGAAACTATTAAGAGTGGGTGAAAATGTTGAAATATCAAATGCAAACTTCAAACTCCTGAATTCTCATCTTAGGCTTTAATGGTCATTGCAATTATGCTATTAATGGAATGAAATTAATCATAATAAAGCTTATAATCATTTAATCATATTAAATCTACCAGTGTATCTTTGGATTTTTCTAATCATTTGAATAGGTCAGCACTGCTACCCATTCTGTATTGCTGTTTTACAGGATGGTATATAAAGCTAGAAGTACATTATGCTCATTGTGTTTGGTTATTTTCTGCTATTACAACATCGTGAAAATTTCAGCGATCAGAAAGTAGGCAGACTAGAGGAAGAGTTATTGTTAAACTTATTGTTATTTTTTAACAAATGAACCTAAACATTTTTCTAGGTTCTTAAAGCAATTAAAACAAAGCTAATAAAGGGTTATTTATACGAGGTCCTGGGAATGTTTTCCTCAATGGATCATTAGGGTGGGATAATTGTATAAAGCATATTTATTATTTGCTTTGAAATATGAATTTTGCTATAGTAGTGTTTAAAAGTGTGTGGTAGTTTGCATCCTAGAGTAGTCCAAGTGTATTATCCCCTATAATCTTATGTTCATTTAGTTCTAAAGGTAGATACAGTGAACTATTACCTATTTGGTGTCCTTCCACAGTGCTGGTAACTACCTACTTCCTTTAAAGAAAATCTGATCACTACCCCCCTTGCATTTTTATCTTCCTGGCTGAAATGCCTCTGTTAGGATTTGTTCCTTTATCTTCAAATGTTCTATTGTCCAGAGACATATTTTTAAGCAATGTAATTGGCCTGGGATAGGTAATAGCTTGCTTGAAGTAATTATGAGTAGCACAGCAAGATTTGTTAAGGGAGCAGAAAGCCTCTGCTGGTTGAGTTGGGGGAATTGTGAGACACTGCCAAGGGGGCGTTCAGAATAGCAATGTTTGTGCACCTCCCTTTCTCTCCTCAGGGCCTGCTATCTGATATAATCAATAAGAATTTCATTTTTCTTATTATGGTATCTACAAGATTTGCATTCTTCCTCCTCCTTCCTCCCTAAATGACAAATGATTTCATCAACAAAATTGCATTAATATTTTTCTGTTATTTTAGCTAAAGTCCCCAGTTAGTTTAACTGAATTTCCAGTCAGTTCAGAGTAATTCAGTCAACTCAAGATTTAGAAAAAAAACAAAACCAAAACACTGTTACATGACTATTTATATGCCTCATTTTAAATCTTTAGTTTTAAAACAAATATTATTAGTAAAAGAAAACAAAGCAAATTATACTTCATTGGTAATTGAAGTAATTGTGATATTTTTTACTAGAGGCCTAGGTTGGCTGATTGGGGGAGGGAATGTGGGAGGTTGGCTGCCAGCTCCGAGGAGGGAGCCAGCCCTCGGCCCCCTGGGAAAGGGGCCCTGTCCACTGCCACACACCCCTGGTTCCATCCCAGCCCAGGGCTTGAAGGCCCTGGCAGGGTCGGGAAAGGAGGTGATGGTGGCTGGGCCAGGTGCGGAAGGAATGGATGCCGACACCACCCCTCCACCAAGTGGTTCCCCTCCTCCCCCTTCCTCCTTCACTTGCCACAGCCTGCCACTGTGGTGGGCAGATGGCCCAAGGAAAGGGGGAGGAGGAGGCGGTTCCCTGCCTCCCTGTCTCCTTCCCTTGTCACTGAGCTGACACTGTGGCCGGTGGGCAGCCCCCGGGGAAGGGAGAGGACAGGAGTGAGACAAACCCTTGTGTAGAGGGCTGACTTTCAATAGATCACAGCAAGGGAGCTGTTCTGCTACCAATGAAACCCTGACTCAGAAGCCTATCATCTACAAATGGTTTAGCACCAGGGGCTGAGGGGGGGGGGTCCGGGGATGGGGTGGGGGGGACCACGGG